CAGAATCTGACACCTACAGCCAACGGTCGGTGGGTACGTCAGACACAACCGTTTAGTTGGCATGGCCCGGGAGCAAGCCCACTGAAATCACGTGTCCTCTACCTGCCCCTGTCCTTTGGTGTTCCCTCACCAAGCGAAAGTATCGCATGCTGTGGGCTCAGCCCCACTGTACAGTGAGGAAGAGCTAACAGAGGGCGGTCAGGAACGGGGGGAGACATCCGCCTCTTCAGCAGCCAGGCGAAGAAGTACTGGCGAGGAGAGTGGCTCGGTAGCCGGTCTAGAGACAGGTCTGTCTCCTGACCCACACGCAGACGAGGGGGCTAGTAGTGAGGCGGAGACCCTAATTGATGATGATGAGGCTGATCGCACTTGGCAGCCTCGTCGTCATCAGGCTATTGCTTCCGCATCATCAGGAGAAGAGGGTGCCAGCTTGGCAGCGAGCAAAACAGTCGGTGGGTTGCCCAGGAGGCAGCAGGGTCGCAGCAGTGTCAGTGGAGGCAAACGGCCACGGAGTAGAGCACCAGCTCCACTGCAGCCTACCACCACGGCCAGTAGTGGTGCCGGTGTGCACGGAGGAAGTAGCAGTCAGCCAGTGAGGAGTAGCCGGGGGCAAAGTTTCCTACTCGGCGGTGTGGCAATTTTTCGTCAAGCCGCCCGAGGAAGTAAACGTAGCCGTATGTCGACTATGTGGCCAGAAAGTCAAGCGTGGCCAGGGGGCCCATGTTGGGACTACAGCGTTGCGGCAGCATATGCAGCGTCGCCATTTGGTGGCCTGGGAAAACCGTGATAAAGATACGGCGGTTCTGCCTGCCCCAGCCCCCGCTCCATCACCCGCTCCGTTACTTGCTCCGTCACCCGACGTCAATCGCCCTCTATCAGCCAGTCAAGGCTCCAACACCTCTGCTGAGGGGAGTTGTCGCTCGTTGGCATCTTCCGCTCGTTCAGATGCTCCTTCTCCTGCTACTCTCTCATCACGGATTCCGTCAGCAGTCTTTCTTGGAATCCGTTTCCAAGAGACAACAGTTTGCGAGCACGCACGCACCGACGGTGCAGAAGCTGAACGTCCTCCTGTCCAAGTTGCTGGGTGCTGCAGTCCCTCCCTTTCCAAGTGGTGGACTCAGCACCTTTCCGAGAAATGATGGCTTGTGCCGCGCCGCGGTGGAGAGTAGTGCCAAGCCGGCATTTCTTCGCCAAAAAGGCAGTGCCAGCCCTGCATTCACATGTAGAAGAGATGGTGGGCCAGTCTTTGAGCATGTCGGTCTCTGCCAAAGTGCACGGCAGCGCCGACGTGTGGAGCTGTAACTACGGTCAGGGACAGTACATGTCATTTACGGCCCACTGGGTGAACGTGGTGCCGGCACAGCCGCACCAGCAACTTGGACAGGTCACGCCGCTTTTGCCTCCACGTTTGCACGTCCTTGGTCCGGCAAAGATGTCCGCCTCTACCACCTCTTCTTCCGCCGTGTCCTCAGCCGCCACCCCCGTGCCAAGTCCCATTACCCGACCGGCATATCACATGTGCAGGGCGCAACGGTGTCACGCTGTGCTGCACCTGGTATGCCTTGGCGAACGTAGTCACACAGGGGGGGAGGAACTTCTGAGTGTAATGAACAGAGAAATCGACAGATGGCTGTCTCCGCGCAAACTGAAAATCGGAACCATGTTGACCGACAACGGAAAGAACATGGTGTCTGCTCTGCGTCAAGGAAGGTTGTGCCATGCGCCATGCATGGCTCACGTGTTCAATCTGGTTGTCAAGCGGTTCCTAAAATCCACCATCCCACTGCAAGACATCCTTAAAATGTCACGTAAACTTTGCATGCATTTCAGCCATTTCCTACACCGCAAAGCACACCCTCCTTGAGCTGCAGCGGCAGAACGGAATTCCACAGCATCGCCTGATCTGCGACGTTGCAACAAGGTGGAATTCAACCCTACACATGTTAGACCGCCTTTACGAACAGCGAAAGGCCATCACCGATTTCCTGATGTTACAAGCGGATAAAGGTACTCCCCTGTGTAACTTCGATGTCAGCCATTGGCAGCTCATGCGTGACACCTGCCGCTTGCTCAGGCCCTTTGAGGAGGCCACGCTATTCGTGAGTCGGCAGGACTATGGGATGAACGACGTCATTCCTCTGTTGCACGTCCTGGAACAAATGCTGTTAACAATGGCTGGTCAGGGTGCGGTAGACGTGGCGCACAGATCTCAACGCCACATGACCCCTGTGGGGGCAGGACAGGAAGAAGAGGAGGAGGTAGAGGAGGACATTGGTGCTCAGGAATTATTGAGTGAAATGGGTGGTTTTTCCACTCAGCGGACAGGAGTGGAGGAGCAGGAGCATCTCTGGTAGAGGAGGAGGAGGAGGAGACAGAGGACCCAGACGCACCGTGGCAGTATGCTGTGGAGATGGAGGCAGGGAGTCCCTCGCATTCCTTGGCACAAATGGCCCATAGCATGCTCGGTTGCTTGCGTAGCGACAGCCGAATAATAACCATCAGACAGAGGGATGACTTTTGGCTGTCCACCTTGTTGGACCCTCGCTACCGTTCAAAAATGGTGGCCTTTTTCACACCTGCTGAGAGGGAGGCCAAAATAACGTACTATAAAAACCACCTATGTAGTCAGTTGGTCTCTGCCTTTCTGCGCCAACGTCCATCCTCAGACACTGTGGGCCCTGTGCGCTCGCGTTCCGCTGCCATGGCAGCAGGGGAGGGGTGGGGTGGTAGGAGCAGTGGCAGCTCCACCAGCAGCGGCTGCCTCAGTCTGCAGTCGATGATGAGTAGCTTTCTTCACCAGCGCAGTGAGGAAACTACTAACCAGCCGCAGCAGCAGCAGCATCAGGTGGACCTGGAGCAGGACCTCAAACAACAGGCTTGGGCCTACTTGGACAGCACCCTGCCAACCGAGGTAGACAATCCCCTTGACTACTGGGCAACGAAACTTGACCTTTGGCCCCAACTAGCTGAATTTGCCCTTGAAAGGCTGTCATGCCCGGCCAGTAGCGTGGCATCGGAGCGCGTGTTTAGTGCGGCAGGAGGTATTGTAACTCCGCGGAGGACACGACTGTCCACCCAAAGTGTGGAGAGACTCACGTTTGTGAAAATGAATCAGGCGTGGATTAGTCTGGATTTCAAACCACCAGTTCCTGACACAACTGACTAAATCCGCCATGAATCATGCCCCAAACATGTGCCACTTTCAGGTCTCCTCACACTGCTGGTGTGGTTCCATTTTGTCATAGGGTGCTGGCAGATTACGGGCCTCCCATTGCTGCTGCCAGGCCCCGTAATCTGCCATGGGCCCCTGTACCGCCTCCTCATGCTGCTGCCAGGTCCAGAGTGTCTCATGGGTCCCTGTACGGCCTCCCATTGCTGCTGTCTCCATCGCCACACTCACACTCTGCCATGTGCCACTTTCAGGTCAGGTCTCCTCACACTGCTGGTGTGTTCCATTTTGTCATAGGGTGCTGGCAGATTACGGGCCTCCCATTGCTGCTGCCAGGCCCGTAATCTGCCATGGGCCCCGTACCGCCTCCTCATGCTGCTGCCAGGTCCAGAGTCTCTCATGGGTCCCTGTACGCCTCCCATTGCTGCTGTCTCCATCGCCACACACTCTGCCATGTGCCACTTTCAGGTCTCCTCACACTGCTGGTGTGTTCCATTTTGTCATAGGGTGCTGGCAGATTACGGGCCTCCCATTGCTGCTGCCAGGCCCGTAATCTGCCATGGGCCCCCGTACCGCCTCCTCATGCTGCTGCCAGGTCCAGAGTCTCTCATGGGTCCCTGTACGGCCTCCCATTGCTGCTGTCTCCATCGCCACACTCTCTGCCATGTGCCACTTTCAGGTCTCCTCACACTGCTGGTGTGTTCCATTTTGTCATAGGGTGCTGGCAGATTACGGGGCCTCCCATTGCTGCTGCCAGGCCCGTAATCTGCCATGGGCCCCTGTACCCGCCGCCTCCTCATGCTGCTGCCAGGTCCAGAGTCTCTCATGGGTCCCTGTACGGCCTCCCATTGCTGCTGTCTCCATCGCCACACTCTGCCATGTGCCACTTTCAGGTCTCCTCACACTGTTGTGGGTTCCATTTTTTGTCATAGGGTGCTGGCAGATTACGGGCCTCCCATTGCTGCTGCCAGGCCCGTAATCTGCCATGGGCCCCCTGTACCGCCTCCTCATGCTGCTGCCAGGTCCAGAGTCTCTCATGGGTCCCTGTACGGCCTCCCATTGCTGCTGTCTCCATCGCCACACTCTGCCATGTGCCACTTTCAGGTCTCCTCACACTGCTGGTGTGTTCCATTTTTGTCATAGGGTGCTGGCAGATTACGGGCCTCCCATTGCTGCTGCCAGGCCCTGTAATCTGCCATGGGCCCCCTGTACGCCTCCTCATGCTGCTGCCAGGTCCAGAGTGTCTCATGGGTCCCTGTACGGCCTCCCATTGCTGCTGTCTCCATCGCCACACTCTGCCATGTGCCACTTTCAGGTCTCCTCACACTGCTGGTGTGTTCCATTTTGTCATAGGGTGCTGGCAGATTACGGGCCTCCCATTGCTGCTGCCAGGCCCGTGTAATCTGCCCATGGGCCCCTGTACCGCCTCCTCATGCTGCTGCCAGGTCCAGAGTGTCTCATGGGTCCCTGTACGGCCTCCCATTGCTGCTGTCTCCATCGCCACACTCTGCCATGTGCCACTTTCAGGTCTCCTCACACTGCTGGTGTGTTCCATTTTGTGTCATAGGGTGCTGGCAGATTACGGGCCTCCCATTGCTGCTGCCAGGCCCGTAATCTGCCATGGGCCCCCGTACCGCCTCCTCATGCTGCTGCCAGGTCCAGAGTGTCTCTCATGGGTCCCTGTACGGCCTCCCATTGCTGCTGTCTCCATCGCCACACTCTGCCATGTGCCACTTTCAGGTCTCCTCACACTGCTGGTGTGTTCCATTTTGTCATAGGGTGCTGGCAGATTACGGGCCTCCCATTGCTGCTGCCAGGCCCGTAATCTGCCATGGGCCCCTGTACCGCCTCCTCATGCTGCTGCCAGGTCCAGAGTGTCTCATGGGTCCCTGTACGGCCTCCCATTGCTGCTGTCTCCATCGCCACACTCTGCCATGTGCCACTTTCAGGTCTCCTCACACTGCTGGTGTGTTCCATTTTGTCATAGGGTGCTGGCAGATTACGGGCCTCCCATTGCTGCTGCCAGGCCCGTAATCTGCCATGGGCCCCCGTACCGCCTCCTCATGCTGCTGCCAGGTCCAGAGTCTCTCATGGGTCCCTGTACGGCCTCCCATTGCTGCTGTCTCCATCGCCACACTCTGCCATGTGCCACTTTCAGGTCTCCTCACACTGCTGGTGTGTTCCATTTTGTCATAGGGTGCTGGCAGATTACGGGCCTCCCATTGCTGCTGCCAGGCCTGTAATCTGCCATGGGCCCCTGTACCGCCTCCTCATGCTGCTGCCAGGTCCACAGTGTCTCATGGGTCCCTGTGCCACTTTCAGGTCTCCTCACACTGCTGGTGTGTTCCATTTTGTCATAGGGTGTGGCAGATTACGGGCCTCCCATTGCTGCTGCCCAGGCCCGTAATCTGCCATGGGCCCCCGTACCGCCTCCTCATGCTGCATGCCAGGTCCACAGTGTCTATGGGTCCCTGTTGCACGGCCTCCATTTGACATGCTGATCTCCATCGCCACACTCTGACCATGTGCCACTTTCAGGTCTCCTGCACACTGCTGGTGGCAAATTTTGTGACATGGGAGTGTGCGCCAGATTACGGGCCTCGATAGGATGCTGGGCCAGGTCCCCCGTAATAAGATGCCAATGGGGCATGATAGATGGCGCTTCCAGCAAAATGTGGAGGCTGCGTAATCTGCCAGACGCCTATGACAGCTGTGGATGGCTGGAAAACACCAGCTGTGGGAGGAGACCTGAAAGTGGCACATGGCAGCAGTGTGGCGATGGAGACAAGCAGCAATGGGAGGCCCGTTCCAGGGACCCATGAGACACTGTGGACCTGGCAGCAGCAGCGACTTGGGGTGCCAGGCCCGTAATCTGCCAGCACCCTATGACAAAAATGGAACCCACCAGCAGTGTGAGGGAGACCTGAAAGTGGCACATGCACATTGCGCAGAGTGTGGCGATGGTGACAGCAGCAATGGCGTACTTGGAGGCCGTACAGGGGACCCATGAGAAACTTGGACCTGGCAGCAGCATTGAGGGGAGGCGGGGTACAGGGGCCCATGGCAGATTACGGGCCTGGCTGGCAGCAGCAATGGGAGGCCCGTAATCTGCCAGCACCCTATGACAAAATGGAACACACCAGCAGTGTGAGGAGACCTGAAAGTGGCACATGGCAGAGTGTGGCGATGGAGACAGCAGCAATGGGAGGCCGTACAGGGACCCATGAGAGACTCTGGACCTGGCAGCAGCATGAGGAGGCGGTACGGGGGCCCATGGCAGATTACGGGCCTGGCAGCAGCAGCAATGGGAGGCCCGTAATCTGCCAGCACCCTATGACAAAATGGAAACACACCAGCAGTGTGAGGAGACCTGAAAGTGGCACATGGCAGAGTGTGGCGATGGAGACAGCAGCAATGGGAGGCCGTACAGGGACCCATGAGACACTGTGGACCTGGCAGCAGCATGAGGAGGCGGTACAGGGGCCCATGGCAGATTACGGGCCTGGCAGCAGCAATGGGAGGCCCGTAATCTGCCAGCACCCTATGACAAAATGGAACACACCAGCAGTGTGAGGAGACCTGAAAGTGGCACATGGCAGAGTGTGGCGATGGAGACAGCAGCAATGGGAGGCCGTACAGGGACCCCATGAGAGACTCTGGACCTGGCAGCAGCATGAGGAGGCGGTACAGGGGCCCATGGCAGATTACGGGCCTGGCAGCAGCAATGGGAGGGGTAATCTGCCCAGCACCCTCTGCAAAAAAGCACCCTATGACAAAATGGAACACACCAGCAAAGTGTGCCAGCTCACTGACAAGTGGACCGATGGCACATGGCAGAGTGTGGCGATGGAGACAGCAGCAATGGGAGCCGTACAGGGACCCATGAGACACTCTGGACCTGGCAGCAGCATGAGGAGGCGGTACGGGGGCCCATGGCAGATTACGGGCTGGGCAGCAGCAATGGGAGGCCCGTAATCTCTGCCAGCACCCTATGACAAAATGGAACACACCAGCAGTGTGAGGAGACCTGAAAGTGGCACATGGCAGAGTGTGGCGATGGAGACAGCAGCAATGGGAGGCGTACAGGGACCCAGCAGAGAGACTCTGGACCTGGCAGCAGCATGAGGAGGCGGTACAGGGGCCCATGGCAGATTACTGGGCCTGGCAGCAGCAATGGGGCCCGTAATCTGCCAGCACCCTATGACAAAAATGGAACACACCAGCAGTGTGAGGAGACCTGAAAGTGGCACATGGCAGAGTGTGGCGATGGGACAGCAGCCATGGCCGTACAGGGACCCCATGAGAGACTTACTGGCAGCAGCATGAGGAGGCGGTTACAGGGCCCATGGCAATACGGGCCGTGCAGCGGCCCGGCCCGTAATCTGCCAGCACCCTATGACAAAATGGAACCCACCAGCAGTGTGAGGAGACCTGAAAGTGGCACATGGCAGAGTGTGGCGATGGAGACAGCAGCAATGGGAGGCCGTACAGGGACCCATGAGACACTGTGGACCTGGCAGCAGCATGAGGAGGAGGGTACAGGGGCCCATGGCAGATTACAGGCCTGGCAGCAGCAATGGGAGGCCCGTAATCTGCCAGCACCCTATGACAAAATGGAACACACCAGCAGTGTGAGGAGACCTGAAAGTGGCACATGGCAGAGTGTGGCGATGGAGACAGCAGCAATGGGAGGCCGTACAGGGACCCATGAGAGACTCTGGACCTGGCAGCAGCATGAGGAGGCGGTACAGGGGCCCATGGCAGATTACGGGGCCTGGCAGCAGCAATGGGAGGCCCGTAATCTGCCAGCACCCTATGACAAAAAATGGAACACACCAGCAGTGTGAGGAGACCTGAAAGGCACATGGCAGAGTGTGGCGATGGAGACAGCAGCAATGGGAGGCCGTACAGGGACCCATGAGAGACTCTGGACCTGGCAGCAGCATGAGGAGGCGGTACAGGGGCCCATGGCAGATTACGGGGCCTGGCAGCAGCAATGGGAGGCCCGTAATCTGCCAGCACCCTATGACAAAATGGAACACACCAGCAGTGTGAGGAGACCTGAAAGTGGCACATGGCAGAGTGTGGCGATGGAGACAGCAGCAATGGGAGGCCGTACAGGGACCCATGAGACACTCTGGACCTGGCAGCAGCATGAGGAGGCGGTACAGGGGCCCATGGCAGATTACGGGCCTGGCAGCAGCAATGGGAGGCCCGTAATCTGCCAGCACCCTATGACAAAATGGAACACCCAGCAGTGTGAGGAGACCTGAAAGTGGCACATGTTTGGGGCATGATTCATGGCGGATTTAGTCAGTTGTGTCAGGAACTGGTGGTTTGAAATCCAGACTAATCCACGCCTGATTCATTTTCACAAACGTGAGTCTCTCCACACTTTGGGTGGACAGTCGTGTCCTCCGCGGAGTTACAATACCTCCTGCCGCACTAAACACGCGCTCCGATGCCACGCTACTGGCCGGGCATGACAGCCTTTCAAGGGCAAATTCAGCTAGTTGGGGCCAAAGGTCAAGTTTCGTTGCCCAGTAGTCAAGGGGATTGTCTACCTCGGTTGGCAGGGTGCTGTCCAAGTAGGCCCAAGCCTGTTGTTTGAGGTCCTGCTCCAGGTCCACCTGATGCTGCTGCTGCTGCGGCTGGTTAGTAGTTTCCTCACTGCGCTGGTGAAGAAAGCTACTCATCATCGACTGCAGACTGAGGCAGCCGCTGCTGGTGGAGCTGCCACTGCTCCTACCACCCCACCCCTCCCCTGCTGCCATGGCAGCGGAACGCGAGCGCACAGGGCCCACAGTGTCTGAGGATGGACGTTGGCGCACAAAGGCAGAGACCAACTGACTACATAGGTGGTTTTTATAGTACGTTATTTTGGCCTCCCTCTCAGCAGGTGTGAAAAAGGCCACCATTTTTGAACGGTAGCGAGGGTCCAACAAGGTGGACAGCCAAAAGTCATCCCTCTGTCTGATGGTTATTATTCGGCTGTCGCTACGCAAGCAAGCAACCGAGCATGCTATGGGCCATTTGTGCCAAGGAATGCGAGGGACTCCCTGCCTCCATCTCCACAGCATACTGCCACGGTGCGTCTGGGTCCTCTGTCTCCTCCTCCTCCTCTACCAGATGCTCCTGCTCCTCCACTCCTGTCCGCTGAGTGGAAAAACCACCCATTTCACTCAATAATTCCTGAGCACAAATGTCCTCCTCTACCTCCTCCTCTTCTTCCTGTCCTGCCCCCACAGGGGTCATGTGGCGTTGAGATCTGTGCGCCACGTCTACCGCACCCTGACCAGCCATTGTTAACAGCATTTGTTCCAGGACGTGCAACAGAGGAATGACGTCGTTCATCCCATAGTCCTGCCGACTCACGAATAGCGTGGCCTCCTCAAAGGGCCTGAGCAAGCGGCAGGTGTCACGCATGAGCTGCCAATGGCTGACATCGAAGTTACACAGGGGAGTACCTTTATCCGCTTGTAACATCAGGAAATCGGTGATGGCCTTTCGCTGTTCGTAAAGGCGGTCTAACATGTGTAGGGTTGAATTCCACCTTGTTGCAACGTCGCAGATCAGGCGATGCTGTGGAATTCCGTTCTGCCGCTGCAGCTCAAGGAGGGTGTGCTTTGCGGTGTAGGAATGGCTGAAATGCATGCAAAGTTTACGTGACATTTTAAGGATGTCTTGCAGTGGGATGGTGGATTTTAGGAACCGCTTGACAACCAGATTGAACACGTGAGCCATGCATGGCGCATGGCACAACCTTCCTTGACGCAGAGCAGACACCATGTTCTTTCCGTTGTCGGTCAACATGGTTCCGATTTTCAGTTTGCGCGGAGACAGCCATCTGTCGATTTCTCTGTTCATTACACTCAGAAGTTCCTCCCCTGTGTGACTACGTTCGCCAAGGCATACCAGGTGCAGCACAGCGTGACACCGTTGCGCCCTGCACATGTGATATGCCGGTCGGGTAATGGGACTTGGCACGGGGGGGGTGGCGGCTGAGGACACGGCGGAAGAAGAGGTGGTAGAGGCGGACATCTTTGCCGGACCAAGGACGTGCAAACGTGGAGGCAAAAAGCGGCGTGACCTGTCCAAGTTGCTGGTGCGGCTGTGCCGGCACCACGTTCACCCAGTGGGCCGTAAATGACATGTACTGTCCCTGACCGTAGTTACAGCTCCACACGTCGGCGCTGCCGTGCACTTTGGCAGAGACGACATGCTCGACATGCTCAAAGACTGGCCCACCATCTCTTCTACATGTGAATGCAGGGCTGGCACTGCCTTTTTGGCGAAGAAATGCCGGCTTGGCACTCTCCACCGCGGCGCGGCACAAGCCATCATTTTCTCGGAAAGGTGCTGAGTCCACCACTTGGAAAGGGAGGGACTGCAGCACCAGCAACTTGGACAGGAGGACGTTCAGCTTCTGCACCGTCGGGTGCGTGCTCGCAAACTGTTGTCTCTTGGAAACGGATTCCAAGAAAGACTGCTGACGGAATCCGTGAAGAGGAGTAGCAGGAGAAGGAGCATCTGAACGAGCGGAAGATGCCAACGAGCGACAACTCCCCTCAGCAGAGGGTTGTTGGAGCCTTGACTGGCTGATAGAGGGCGATTGACGTCGGGTGACGGAGCAAGTAACGGAGCGGGTGATGGAGCGGGGGCTGGGGCAGGCAGAACCGCCGTATCTTTATCACGGTTTTCCCAGGCCACCAAATGGCGACGCTGCATATGCTGCCGCAACGCTGTAGTCCCAACATGGGCCCCCTGGCCACGCTTGACTTTCTGGCCACATAGTCGACATACGGCTACGTTTACTTCCTCGGGCGGCTTGACGAAAAATTGCCACACCGCCGAGTAGGAAACTTTGCCCCCGCTACTCCTCACTGGCTGACTGCTACTTCCTCCGTGCACACCGGCACCACTACTGGCCGTGGTGGTAGGCTGCAGTGGAGCTGGTGCTCTACTCCGTGGCCGTTTGCCTCCACTGACACTGCTGCGACCCTGCTGCCTCCTGGGCAACCCACCGACTGTTTTGCTCGCTGCCAAGCTGGCACCCTCTTCTCCTGATGATGCGGAAGCAATAGCCTGATGACGACGAGGCTGCCAAGTGCGATCAGCCTCATCATCATCAATTAGGGTCTCCGCCTCACTACTAGCCCCCTCGGCTGCGTGTGGGTCAGGAGACAGACCTGTCTCTAGACCGGCTACCGAGCCACTCTCCTCGCCAGTACTTCTTCGCCTGGCTGCTGAAGAGGCGGAATGTCTCCCCCCGTTCCTGACCGCCCTCTGTTAGCTCTTCCTCACTGTACAGTGGGGCTGAGCCCACAGCATGCGATACTTTGCTTGGTGAGGGAACACCAAAGGACAGGGGCAGGTAGAGGACACGTGATTTCAGTGGGCTTGCTCCCGGGCCATGCCAACTAACGGTTGTGTCTGACGTACCCACCGACCGTTGGCTGTAGGTGTCAGAGGTGACCTGGGAAGAGGAAGACGACCGAGCCAACCAATCGATGACGGCAGGGTTGTCGGTGGAGACACGACCGCTGGATGACACCGGGAGCACTGGCCTCTGGCTGCGACTAGTGCTGCCTCGACCCCTTCCTCTGCTGCCACGTCTGCTCGCTCCTAAAACATTGCCTCCTCTGCCACTCCTCTGCATGTTGTCTGACATACTCTTTAATTCAACGATTCTGTGTCCCTGAGTAACAATTCTGTGTCCCTCAGTAACAATTCTGTGTCTGTCCTTGAGTAACAATTCTGTGTCCCTGAGTAACAATTCTGTGTCCCTGAGTAACAATTCTGTGTCCCTCAGTAACAATTCTGTGTCCCTGAGTAACAATTCTGTGTCCCTGAGTAACAATTTGTGTGTCCCTCAGTAACAATTCTGTGTCCCAGAAACAATTCTGTGTCCCTCAGTAACAATTCTGTGTCCCTCAGTAACAATTCTGTGTCTGTCCCTGAGTAACAATTCTGTGTCTGTCCCTGAGTAACAATTCTGTGTCCCTAAGTAACGGTTCTGTGTCCCTAAGTAACGGTTCTGTTCTGTGTCCCTAAGTAACGATTGTGTGTCCCTAAGTAACGATTGTGTGTCCCTAAGTAACGGTTCTGTGTCCCTAAGTAACGATTCTGTGTCCCTAAGTAACGGTTCTGTGTCCCTAAGTTACGGTTCTGTGTCTGTCCCTGAGTAACAATTCTGTGTCCCTCAGTAACAATTCTGTGTCTGTCCCTGAGTAACAATTCTGTGTCCCTCAGTAACAATTCTATGTCCCTCAGTAACAATTCTATGTCCCTCAGTAACAATTCTGTGTCCCTCAGTAACAATTCTGTGTCTGTCCCTGAGTAACAATTCTGTGTCCCTCAGTAACAATTCTGTGTCTGTCCCTGAGTAACAATTCTGTGTCCCTGAGTAACAAATCTGTGTCCCTCAGTAACAATTCTGTGTCCCTCAGTAACAATTCTGTGTCCCTCAGTAACAATTCTGTGTCTGTCCCTGAGTAACAATTCTGTGTCCCCTGAGTAACAATTCTGTGTCCCTGAGTAACAATTCTGTGTCCCTCAGTAACAATTCTGTGTGTCCCTGAGTAACAATTCTGTGTCCCCGAGTAACAATTCTGTGTCCCCGAGTAACAATTCTGTGTCCCTCAGTAACAATTGTGTGTCCCTCAGTAACAATTCTGTGTCCCTCAGTAACAATTCTGTGTCCCTCAGTAACAATTCTGTGTCTGTCCCTGAGTAACAATTCTGTGTCCCTCAGTAACAATTCTGTGTCTGTCCCTGAGTAACAATTCTGTGTCCCTGAGTAACAATTCTGTGTCCCTGAGTAACAATTCTGTGTCCCTCAGTAACAATTCTGTGTCCCTCAGTAACAATTCTGTGTCTGTCCCTGTGTAACAATTCTGTGTCCCTGAGTAACAATTCTGTGTCCCTCAGTAACAATTCTGTGTCCCTCAGTAACAATTCTGTGTCCC